CTTGCCACAATTCCAGCAGATTGTCTGCAGACCAGACTTTGATTTTGATCTCTCTTTATTTGAGTTCATGTCTTGTCATCTCCCTCTGAAATCAATATTCAGTGTCGAACTCATACCTGAGATCTCGCCAGAATCTTTCTTGCGAACATCCTCAGCCGAAATCAAATCACGAATATCATCGCATTTCAGTTTAGATTTACCTGCAGAACTGCTAACTGTCATGCTCATCTCTTTTCAACTATTTGGCAACGATGTCAACAATATCAGCGCACATATCTCATCATCAAAATCAATTTCAACACACGACAATTAATTTATGATAGTATTAAAATCATTCAGGTATTGAGCAATAGAAACATCTTCCGCTATCTTCAAATTGAATAATTTCTTCATCAAGAACACCTTGTTATCTGCCGATGTCTTTTCATACATACCTGATAAGGCTGTCATGAGATCTGCAGTCGTCCTTTCCTTGACGATGTTGTGTGCAACGAACCTCGATAGGGTCAATCGAATAACCCCAGAACTTGTCAATCCAACAAATGTCATTCAGCCTCATCCATCCTTTCAAGTCGTTTCCCCAATAACGAAAGAAGTAGTTTCTTCTCATAAAGGTAATCCTCTATCTGCATTCTCCAATAACTAAAATTCGTGTCATCAAACTTCTCGATCCGTGAAACATTCACTTCATCTGCAACCATCATTCTTCCTCAGATACGAATAAAACTTTGATTCCAGTTGTTGTGGTAAATATATAAATCAAACAAGAGAACGATCTTTGAGGAAGCGAAAAATAGAACGAGTAAATTCACACCAAAAAAGTGTAACACAGCGGAACACACAGATTTACGTGGTTCGGCAAATAGCCTACGTCCACGGAGTTGTAGAGAATTTTACTACTTGAGGAATTTACACCAGTCGATCGTCTCGACTTACAAGAGGAATCTCTCACTTCGTTGTTCTCTCTTCTTCTCTCTTTGTTCTTCTCTCTCTACGCCGAGATATACCGAAGAAGCTCTACATCGAGATACACCGAAGAATATAAACTTATAAGAGAAATAAACTCAATTTCTCTTCTGCCACAAGTCACCAAGAAGAAGCCGAGAGAAAACAATCTTCTTCTTCTTCTTTCTTCTTCATTCTACCGCAAGGAACTACTCGTTGCACTTCTCTTCCTTTATCCCGAGAAAGCCCGAAGAAGAACACTAAAAGGCTGTGCTTCTAAACTGAAGGAGAGACCGTGCGATGTCTTTCTTCTTCTTCCTTCTGTCGTGAGCTAGCTCGCCAAAGAAAAGCCTTGGAGAGCAATACTCTTCTCGCTCGAACCACATGCCCCCCCCCCAACCCGAAACTGCTGCCTGTTCGCGACTTAAAGAAGCAGAGGGCGGCGTTGTTTCGCAAATCGTAGGTGGGAGAAGTTTTGAGATAGAGGAAGAAGCGGGAGCGGGAGCTAGGGTCACAATGTTTCGCGATCGGGAGCGAGAGAAATCCCTTTTTTTTAATTTAAACTGGGCTCAACCTCTTAACAATTAGTCCCTTAATAAGTTAACTGATAGATCTTCAAGATGAGTAATAGAAAGTTTGATCAAGTAGTCCCAAACCCTTCCAAAACATTCATGTGCTTGCCAAAGTCACCCCAACTATGAGAACCAACAACAAGTTAATCATTAGTATCATTCTGTGTTATCCTTGTAAGTAAACTTTTTTTTAGAATATTGCTTGTAACACAAGTTTGCCACCACATAAACCTCTTTAAATACTAAAGAATCTGCCAAATAACTCTTTAAACCTTCCAGCATCAACCACCCGTACCACAAACAACTACACAAAAACAAGAGCAGAGGCCAACATAAAAGAAAAATAGCTAAAGCTTAATAAAAGTACCTCGAATGACTTGTTCGGATTCGGATTAGCAGGTGATGAACCGCCAAGCCCAGGAAGGCCAGCCATATCGTTTCCAAGCCAACACCTAAGACAAGTAAACATTATTGAAGATCATAAATTTGCAAAATCCCCGGAGGCTAGCAAACGTTACAATTTTCTATAGTTCTAGTTTATCTTTCATTGGCCAACATCGACCAATGACATGATAAATAACAAGCAACTAAGTTGATTAGGACACCGAAATGTGACTTCCTACTGACAAAGTAATGCAGGGCCCCAACCAAACCATTCACGACAAAAAAAGGGAAAAAACACCCAACAAGGCTTTCAAAGAGATTACAAAAGACATTTGATGGAAAATACCTTCAAAATGAAACGCAATTTGCAGAAGAAATAATCCGCACTCCCTAGTAGTTCAAAAGAAACGGCCACTCGTTAACTAGAAGAGGGAGAAAGAGGTAAAACAAGAAGCCCGATTCCAGGCTATAGTCTAAGAGCTCGCGAAACAGAGGAAGAGGCTACAAAGATCTCCCCTGGGCTAGGGCACCATTCGAACACGCGAGGTTATGATGGCGAAGGCCCTCGCTAGGGCGCTCGGCGGTATTTCATTTTTGTTACGTTAGCGTGGAAACCACGTGGGCTGGGCGTGCCGGTTTTAGATGAACAAATAACTGAAATTTGAATGTGTGATTTAAGTTCTAATTTTTCTCATATGACTACTCGTATATAGTTATATGTACCGCATGTTATTTTTAAGTTATTTTTCAGGTTATTTTTTGGTTATTTTCAACTGGTTTATTTTGGAATTATTGAAAGTAACCTGAAAATACCTGAAGAATAACATGTGCGGCACGTAGAGCTATGTCAGAAGTCCGGACATAAAATGCGAACGAGATTTACACATACCTTTGAACCTTTAGGGCTGTTGTTCCTAGTTCATCTATCTTGAGGGAGATTTATGTGAGAAAATTAAAGAAAGAGAATGAATGTATTATTTGGGCTCAAACTATGCATTCAATCTTTGTCTCCTTCGGGGTAACGGAGAATATGATCTAAGGAGAAGAGGGGAGAAGGAATATTTTGTGAGAGTCACCATCTAACTTCCCTCAAAACAAGCCTGGAGAGTCAATCTTCCATATGGTCCCTTCTCTCTCCTATCATACATGTTCAAGAAAAAATTAAAATGCAAGTTGTGTCGTACAAAATTGTCCATGATGTCTCGATGAAAAGACTGCAACGTGAATGTCATGCAGCCCATAAATGTGGATATTACATATGCCCATTCTTGAAGGTGAGCTAGGCAGGTGAATCAGATTGTTCAGTTTGTCAAAAGAAACAAGCTGACCAGATGGGCAAGTCAATCCTGAGGGTCAGCTCGACAGCTAGTGTGACACAGTTAGGATAGCAGCAAATAGAGTTGGCAAGTCACCTTAGCAAGTTACTATAATGATAGTCGTGTATTCTGGATAATTTGGCTAATCAAGTCCACGAGGCCTGTTGGGCGCGAGCTTTGACCCATGAAGACCAATTTTTATATGTACATTTAGTTCTTTGATTCTCTTATTCATTCAATAGGCTTTTGCAAAAAGAATACAGAAATGAAAGAAATATAGTTTTTGTATCATCACCTATCGATGTAAGTGGCAAGATGCTTCAATAGCTTTTGGTGAGTTGCTAACTTTTTTGGGAGCCTGTTCGCATGATAGTATAGATGTATCCACAGTGTTTACAAATTTTGCTTTGAACTATTTATATGCGTATATCATGGCTCCTCATTGGGCAAAGCTGAATGTTAATCATATCGACTTTTGATATTTTCTCAAATTGGGGTTGAAGTTCTCCTACAAGAAGTAATCTATTTCATTTACTTTCGGGCTTGTTCTGTCCTTCTTTTTGAGGTCATAACTCTCCTACAAGGAGTAATCTTTCAGCCTTTAAGTAAGGATATGATTTTTCCTTTTATGGGGACTTTTATTCTCTCTCCGGAAAGTAGCCATGAACTAATTGGTCATATAATTTTCTACTTTATCGCTCAATTTGTATTTTAAAGAATACGTGCAATTGTGAATGATGATGAACATAAGTAGAGTTTGATAACTTCCTTATGTCGATAGGGGTTTCAACGTTATGTTTTTGTTGCAAACTTTAATTTTTAAGGGAACATTTATCATATAATTTAAAATTGGATCTTAATATGATCATAGATCTCCATTACCAACACTATTTTCCTGTAAATAAAGGAAAATAATCAATAAGTATTTAAAACCACGACTCATGATAGTTATATAATTTTACTGAATGTTAATTCTTTAGCGGGTGTATAAGGTGTTTTTGTAGAAATTGCAGACTTCTTATATTGGGAAAGATCTTGTCCTTCTCCTTTGTTTTAAGATTATTATCCTTGATCTCCATGTTTGAGGCATTTTCCTCAGGCTAAGGTGAAGGTCTCAGAAGAGATTTTCTTAGCAAATGCCCTCAGCAAGAGGAAGGAGGAGGTGTCTAGAGAGAAGGAATTGAGAAAGAATAGTAGACCGACCAAAGAGAGGGGAATATTCAAGGAAAGGACTCCTCTAGGATCTTTTCTCCAAAGATGTTTAAATCTCATACCTCAATCTAAGTGAGATGATGGAGGTTGCTTCGAGTGATGTAAGGGTGGTACTTCCAACTGGAGATAGTTATTCTACAGGCACTGTCGTTGATTTGAACGATCCTGTTGAAGAACAAACCTCTCACATATATGATATACTGAAGGAAAAAAGTACCATGCTGCATCCTAAACTCAGCTTACTGTAAGGGTGTCATGTATCACATTTTAGAAAGTAATACAAATCTAAGGAATTGGGTGACTTCACTGTGACTTTTTTTTTTGTCTTAATCAAATGTAAATGCATCAATTGACTAGTGAGTAGAAAACACAATCTCTTCTAGGAATTCCACTGGATTTAATGCTTGTGGTCCTAGACAACGTGCAGAAGCAGAAGTCCCGGGAGCATTTCCATGTTAACTTGTCTCTGGGAGGTAGCATAAACCTGATTAGTGAGCTTGAACTCTATTTTTATTACCAAGTATGATATTTTTCTGCTTGCAGGGGTACATAATAAAAATGAAGTGGAATGTCTCCTACATGTGAATGTTGATGCGGAATCAATCTTGGTGCTGATCACAACTTATAGTTACCTGGATTTTAAGGAGGCATCAATGCTTGTTGAAAGAAGTTTGATGCTTGTTGACTCGACTATGGGCTATTCATGCATGCAAGGAATGGAATACCAGGATTCTCGAGGTGACATGAAGGAATGGTTGGCTACTATGGAGGAAGACCTTTAGGATGCCAGAGAATGTATTGTTGGCAGCTAAACTAAATAATAGTTACTAACTTAAGGTTCAAAGAATGAGTTATTGAGTTGGAGGCATCTATCAGCAAGAAGACCAAAGTTTGAATAACTGAATGAGAAGCCTTGTTAAAGGATAATTTGAAGATTTATGAAGAGACCCAATAATGATAGGGAGATTTAGAGGCTAAGCTTGCACTCCTCCAACGGTGCCTTTAGTTGAGCTGGTCAAATCAGCTCATGATCGATGATATGTTAGTTTTGCAACATCTCCTTCAGTAAAGAAAGATCGGTTTGAATGGCGTGAGGGAGGAGAACCTCCATTTTTTTCTATTTTCTTACCATATTTTGTTGTTTTTTTTTATCTTTTTATTTGTTGTAATGTGACGATAATGTAGAAGAAAAAAATTATCAATTGACTCCTGTCTCATCAGCTCGTTTTATTTCCATTATGTCTATTACTAATTATCTATTTGCTTGTTATAATTTGTGTCAAAGTGTCTGTCCATTTTTTTTCCTTTTGTGTTACCATTTCTCACAGTTTAATGGAAATGCATAATTAGTTGAAGCATGTACGTTTCGTCTCTCTCAGAGTGTGTATAGAAAAGGATATTAGTGTTTGAGTGTCCCATTGAGGGAGATATGAATATTTATTATGTTTATCCCTTTTGCATATGTTAAGAAAGTTCTTGAATTCTCTGGCCTTCCTCCATAGCATGTTGTAGTAGTTTTCTCACTTTACCAAGGATTGTTACAAGTATGAAGTATAGTAGTGTGGTTTTCCTGTTAGCTAATTATTTAAGGGATTGTGATGGACAATGAGCTATAATCAAAGCACAATCAACCTATGTGTTTTGACAATATTGTGATTCTACGACCGACTAGGGATGACAAAGCTCCCTATATTATTTATGATCATAAAATGTATTATTATAAGGACCATTTTGGGTTGGGCCTCATATTTTTCTCATGTAACAAGTGTGAATATTTTGAATTTCTATGGGATAGTGTGGAGAAAATTAGCTCTGACTTAATAATAAGAAAAATATATTCTGGCAGGATTATGATATTTTTTTTAAACATAGAGACTAGGGGTCAAGAGGAAGAAGTCTTGTTTTGCTCGTAGTTGGAGTAGTTTTAAGATTTTGATGAGATCACAACCTTATTTAGGTGACTCGTCCAATTCTATTCAATGGAAAATTGAGGACCAAAAGAGCCACGAATCTTTAAAGTCGGTAGAAATTGATGTTAAGAGACACACTTCTTTTACGTTCCTAAAGGAGATGTTGGGAGGTAAGTTTGTCATTTTCTTGGTGCTTTAGACTCTCTTAGGCGAAACTTTCACAGAGTATTGAACCTATTTATTCCCTTTTTTTTGACTCAAATGAATGAATAAGGTCTGTTGCATCTTTTTATGAACGAGTCAAGGTGATTTTGCCCCTTCCTTACCCATATAGTGCAAAGGAGAAAATCCTCTGGCCATGATAGTGAGTCATGAGACATATGGTGCAGGGCCCTCGACTCCCAGAGCGGGGATCACGATTACTATATTGAAAAGAATAGGTGAAGGGGAAGAGGAAGAAGATGAAGATTAGAGATTGAACTTTTATTAAAGGGTAGGTTGTGTGGCCCACTTGAGTTTTATACTAATTCAGGAGCTAGTGATATCTCAAATGAGTGTGCCAGATAAGTTAATTTTTTAGGGTTGATTGTAGGAACAAAGGTTCAATCGGTGCCATAGAAGGCTCTTATTGAAACTAACTCAGAGAAATAAGGGCTTTATGGTAGAGCTAAAAAGAGGAAAGTCATTTCACTAAATACTCCTAAAGAGCTCCCTTGGACGGAGTTAGCATCATCCTCACTAAGGAAAAAAAAACCAAGGCGAAGATAGACCCGACACAAGATTGGTTATCAAAGAGTGAATGTTCAACTTGATCTTATTAGTTGGGTTTGGTAATCAACTCGACACATTTAAGTATGACGACTACTAATATTGGTGAGGGTAATATGCATGTTTTCATTATGAAAAACACTACATGCACTTGGCATTAGGCATATATGATGAGTCAATCCTACTGTACCCTCCAAAAAGAATGTCAAGAATCAGGGCTCGCTTGAGCTAAATTGAGGGAAAAAACACAAACATAAACTAGGTTAGTCAAGGAATTGTGAATTGATACGGTGGCTTTGAAGGAAATTGATGGCTTTGAAGGATGAATGTTAATATGTAGATCGTGATTTCAAAAAAGATCAGAGAAACAGTGGACACTCAAAAGCAGATGAAGGAATTGGAGGCTGACAAGAGATGCTAGAAAAAGAACTACTGATAGGAGCTTTGGAAGACTACAAGCTGAATGTTGCTTCAGTCTTGAATCATAGCAGTAAGATGAAAGAGACAATCCATCTAAGAGATTTTGAAATTGGATAATTAGTGAAGAGGGTGATATAGAGTTATGAACTGGTAAAAAGCTTACAATTTGAGGTCGTAAATTTGAAAATGCAACTCGAAGGTCGGTAAATTAAAGGTGAACTCCTTGACTCCCTTACATTGTCTTTAGCATATTAGGATATCTTGATGGATTATTATGTGCATGCATTAAAATCTTGGTAAAGAAAAGTGTTATGGGTCATAAATGGGAGGATATGTATTGAATCTTGTCAATGAGCCCGACACATCAGAGATTAAGGATGATGCGACATTGAAAACTACTTTAGTTTTTTTTTATCTTGTTTTGTTTTAAGTTCTTATAAAGGATGATGTGATTGTGAAAACTACTTTAGTTTTTTTTTATCTTGTTTTGTTTTAAGTTCTTATAAAGGATGATGTGATTGTTCACAATACATGAATGATGTTTTTGTACAAGTTCATGAGTCCATTGTTTGTTTACTATTTACTTTTTCCTTTGAAGATAGTTGGTCCATGCTCAAATAGTTAAAGTGTCATAATAATTACATTTTTTGTATATTCTCGCTTATGTCCCTTAGTTTGGGTAGGATATAAAGGGAGTTTTGAGTTCACACACACTTTTATTCTTATTTGTGCCTATTTTCTCAGAGTGCACTTGTTCAAGGATGATTTTTCCATATGTGTCTAAGCACTTGGAACCGCCACCATAGCTTATTTTTAGGATTCACTCCCATAGAGGAGATAACTATTGAAATAGAGAAGTGTAGCGCAGAGCATTTGAAAGCAGAGTCTACGACCATATCTATCTTGAACACTCATGTCCTAGTAGAGTTGTAGGCAATGAGTGTCTATAATGATTTAATGACACTCTAGCTAGCCCCAAATGAAGAGGCACCAAACATTTTTGTGGAGGAGAATTATGTTGTTATTATGATCAGTTCAGACTTAGTACTAGTTTCACCTTATGCGAGAAGCTGTCAGAGGTGTGAACTTCTATGATTTAGTGATCGCCCAAGTTCAACTTAACTTGAAAGCTATTTTAATGCACATGATTTTGTTCTTTAAAATTATGAAGTTGTTATGGCCTATGAACATTTTTGGAAGCATGATTCAACTAAAAATTTATGTTGGCAGCACAATTTTCTTTTCCCTTCTCAAGTTTTTTGGTCTAGAAAATAAGGTATGGGATTGGAAGCAAACATTTGACATCGTTAAGAATAATGGCAAGTGGGAGATCCTTACTTAGCCCAATCTTTTACATGGATATGAAAGCATCATGTATCTTCAATCTACCCATGATGAAGACATTCAGTTATGATTGTCTTAAGGGATAAACATTAAATGTGAAAGTATTCACTACGACCTGATAGCTAAAGATGATGTCATTATGCCATTGAGTTATTTTAAAGTTGTGTTTGTTATTAGTTTCTCAAAAAAAGTGTCAAGGTCTCCCTTTGAGTTGTCAATAAAATTAGGAACACATGCACCTGTAGACATAAAAGGTGGCATTAATGTTGGATCCTCAGGGTCTAACCAATCTTATCATTCTTGATGAGGAAGAGAATGATGAAGATCATGCTCCCTTATCCCAACTTGAAAGATTTGTTCATGTGAAGGAGCAGATTGCCCTCAAGCTAAGGGAGTGGTTGGCAGTTTCTCAAGCTTATGATCAGACCCGAGCCGATAAAGGAAAAGTTGTAGTAATAAAAGGGTCCTTATAATGATTCATGCAAAAAAATGAAAGGTGGAGAAGAAAATGAAGAGTGCCAGCCGATAAAGGCAAAAAAAATGAAAGGTGGAGAAGAAAATGAAGAGTGCAAAAGTCAATAATGCATCTTCTAAGAGGGTTTTGTCCCTAGAGGACTTTGACATAAGTGGTAGTATGACTCTGATAAATAATAAAAATATCCAGGTTGGTCCACTTTACTCAAGACTGAATGTGCAAGGAAGGGTACTCTAGTGTCCCTGTGTTGGTCCACTTTACTCAGGACTGAATGTGCAAGGAAGGGTACTCTAGTGTCCCTTACCTTTTGGGTTATGTTATCAGCTCTAAATATTTGAGAGAAAAGAAATTTGTTGCAAAACAACGAAACTCCACTTTACATGAATGAAGAGTATGGGGGTCTTCTAGCACCAAGGCTATACAATGTATTAGTCATATTTCTAGTTTCTTCGAGACTTTGACAAACTTTAGAAGGCCCATTTTGTGATAGAAAAGATGGTGGTGGCCCTTGATAAAGAAAATGCAGAGTTATAGGCGAGGTTCACTGATGATGCATGCTGGCTTAAAATTATGAGAAGTTGCTAAGATAATTGGAACGAGAGAAGACCTGACAACAAGCAGAGCTGAAAGATAGTAAACTGCAAATAATCATCCTACCAGACGAGCCATCTCGATTAGTGAGACAAAAAGAGAAGGATCAGCTTGCCCTGGGTGAATAAAAGAAGCATTCCAGTGTTCTTGTCCATAAATATGTAAAACTGTTTGAAGCACTAAATGCTCAGTCTACTGCATCTGAATAATGAGTGGACACCGATCAGATAGTAATGAAAGAGCATCATAATGAAATTATCAAACCAAAAAAAAGTTGTTTGAAGTCATGAAGACTCAATAAGAGTTTTTGATGAGTTGTTAGGTTTTATTGAGTATCAACAACTTTTATCTGAGAATTAGAAAGAAATTTTTGAGCTTGTCCAAAAACTCTAGTTAATTTCCATGTATTGTCCCCCTAACATTATAATATAAAAACAAACCACTCAACAGTATAACAAATACTACATAAATTAACTACTCAAATAAATTAAAGGACCCATCAATAACATTATATTAACACTTTATGACAATAAGTTACTTGATAGATTATTTCAAACTCAAATGATAGCTTTTTATATCAAAAAGAATTATAGCCATGATAATGCACTAATTGGAGCCGAAATTAGGTGATCATAAGCTACATCAAATCAATCGAATAATAGCATTAATTTTCTTCTCATATGAGTGAGTACAATCATTGCCTCCTTTGATGTCATCAATCTAAATATAATATAAAGAGAGCAAAGAAGGCTCTAAAAAGATTTGAATTTAGTTCAAGGAAGGCTCTAATTCTAATTTGGCATATAAGATTGTACCCCAAGTTTGAAACAAATGTTTGATCTTTGTTCAAATGTGTATAGAACATTTAATATAGTGCTCAAATCTTATTCATTTTCAAACAAAGGTTCTCTTACTATGTCATTCCCATCACAACTATAAATATATGATTGCATTCGGGCTTCCATAACTAAAAAATAAACATACTAGCATTTGTTCATTTGAAGGAACAAAGGCCACTAGAAAGCGAAGAACCATACAATTTCAAACAATTATCTCCACTTTGGACTTTGCCTCCTTCAATAACCAGTATCATATAACTTATTCAATTATAGATACATGGCCGAGTCAAAATCTAAGGTGAAGATAATTGTTTGATATTAATAACTTCTAGAGCAACTTCTTATATTTTATTTCTCTTTTTCTCTCATTTCATAATCTTGCAAGCAAAATCTTTACATAATTCACATATAAATATGAATCCAACACATTATTTATGTTTATAAATTTAAGTATTTGAGATAATAACACTCAATAACTCATTTCAACCCAACATGAAGAAGCTCAGCTTTTAAAAACCCCCAACGGTTTTATCGTAACCTACCGTAGAAGCATTTACATACATACCACCCAATTCTCATGTATTTACATATCTAACACCTGTATTTCTCTTTATACATTTATAACACACAAATCTTACCACTATTTTAACTCTTCAAAGGTGAAATAATTTTCATGCATAGAAAATGTGATACATAAATAAAAAATTGAAGTTTAGGTGTGCGATATGTAAATACATAGAAATTGAGCGGTATGTATATGAATATCTTCCAAAAAGACCACAAACCGCACAAAAAATTGAAATGTTGGAACATTTTACTGTCGAACTTAGTGCTGTGCAATTTCGCTTAGCATATTACTTTCAAACATGTCTTAGAACCTCCTGCAAGTACTATATCAATTGGAGTTTTTAGTTACTCATTTCATCACAGCAGTTCACTTTTAAATGCTTACAGTCCAGTTTTCAAGAGAAATCCAGCCATACAGGAAGCACAAATTCATCAATACAGCTGATCCAATCTGCAAATATCATCTAAACAAAAAATAAAAACAATTTTGTCACTAATTTACAACATCATAACAATATAATTAACCTTCCTATTTACAAGTGCCTAATCTAACATTCCTTCAACATCAACATTTGGTTTATAACTAAGCTGGCTCGCAAGGCCGAGCTTCCCATAGCAAGCTCAATGCCCGGAGCCGTTGGAAATAATCGCCCAATGCGAGCAATCCGCGAGCGACCTGTCGAGTGGTCAGAATCTTGTACATTTGCTGCATGGTCTGTTGTCTCAGATGATCAGCCTGTTGTATGGTAGTAAAACATAAAGAGTTAGTGAACCAAGGCAATGGTTATAAGATTGGAAGGCTGACATACATACCACTAAATTTCTATGTATTCACATATTTGACAACTATAACTTCTATTTTTGCATACATACCACCTTATCTATGCATGAAAAGATGTAGTTCACTTATTTTTAAAGTTAAAATGGTGGTATTTTTGAAGTGATATGATGTATTTGGGTGGTATCAATGGAAAAAAGCAATGTTTAGGTGTTAGATATGTAAATACATAGGAATTGGGTGGTATGTTTGGAAACGCCCTTTAAGATTTTAGCCTTCTAGGTTGCTTGAGCTTTCTTTTAATGCAGTCAATAAGCAGCTTTGTTAGAGAAGTGTCTAAAACTTGTATAGTTTTAGTATTGTTTACACCTGAGAAAATTACAAGCTGGCTTATACGTAGAAAAGTGCAATTAAAAAGATCACTACCAAATATTGGTTTCTTATTGTAGCACATATATTAACTTCATCACTTGCAGTGATGCCACTGAAAAATTGAATCAAATTTCAAATTTCAATTCACGCAAGTATTCAACCTTAAAACATCTGAAATTGAGTCCGAGAACACTCGAACATCATTTTTAGGAAATCATAGTCAAAACATGCATCTCGATGAGATGAATATGATGAGTCCAAAATCACTCAATTATAATATCATTAAGGTAAGATTTCTAAAATATATAAAATGACAAAGAAGGAACAATGCAAACTATTTGATGAACTGTTTTTATTATTCGTCACAACAATTAGAATAACACCTCCATAAATATATAAATAGGTCCTACTTAACATATTCAAGAGGGCGTGTGGATACTCAAAGAATTTAATAGCTCTATCTACCAACAACTACCACCTGCGACCAACCACCGCTACTGAATGATAGCACCAATGCCGAGCAACGGCGACATCCTTCATCAAACTTCTCTTCACAAAATTATTAAAGCTGGATATACTATATGAATGAGTGTTGGAAATAAAAAAAAAAAGATGGTAGTTTTTGAACAGTTCACAACAGCATTGTCCTAGTCCTTAAATGAAATTTTATGTTTGTTCAAAATCCCAATTCATCTTGAAAAAGCCTCTCTTGTCCCCTACTGCCAACCTCATCACCCAAAGAGATTACCCTAGCTTTTGAGTTTTAATTTTTTTCAAATTTAACTAGTATTAACTCTGTACTGGTAAAATGAAATTGCATCAATACAGATTTAATTTATTGGTTAAATTAAAATATTAGTAGATTTATTTTACTGCTAATCAAGCACAAAAAAAATTATTTCACTATATTTATTTTACAACCAACCAGACAGCATAGCGAAATTAAAATACATTGTATTCAGTTTGCATTCTAAATACCTGCAACCAAAAAAAATCCTATATAAAATTATTACACCTATATTAACAAGAACTAGGGCAGTTATTCTGGTTGACGCTGGAAGTTAAGCGCCCATGTTGATCCCAGTTCAACTATTTCAAGTGACTCATATATATATATATATATATTTATTTATTTATTTATTTATTTATTTATATTGAAACTACACACATAAAAAATATAAATATTTTTCAAATAGTTGATTAATGAAGCAAATCGATTCAGCCCAATCCTTAAAAGTATGATATGAAGTACAAAATAAGAGGAGAAATAACTAACAAGCATATATCATGTTCTCTTCTCTAAACTAAGGAGGGTGGTGAAGAACTCACAATATTTTGAGAAATTTAACTAGAGAGAAAGCAAATGAGAAAAGAGAAAAATTTCTCCATCATAAAAACTCCAAATACATAAGTTGAAGAATCCGTTAGTTTTCTCACTTTGATGATCTATACTTGCGGTTTTGTGTTGCTATCTTCCCTTGCAGCAGTAATAAGGAATCACATATCCCCTCCATCCGAACTCTTCCGTTCACAATCTTGAGAAGAAGAAACTGAAACACTTGATCAAATCTCTTTTCCTTGCTCTCTAAGCCGCTCTGTAAAAAGAGAAGCCGTTGAGCTGAGCTCCCAAACAATAGCTTAAGAACTAGGGCTTTGGGTAACAAGGGAATTACTAAAATGCCCTTCCAATTTGATGTAATTTCTTAAAAAAAAAATGGCGGTTTTGCAGCTTCTGCGGTTCGTATCTTTTGCGCAGCTTCGCCCCGACCTCTTCGACTCGTCTTTTTTGCCCTCTACCTGACTTGGCAGGGCTTCTCCTTGCTTTGATGGAGTTTCCTTCTTCTTCGGTGGAACCTGACAAAACCTCCTTTGCCCACGTGGTGGGCAATCCTCAGGGAGAGACAGCGGTTATTTTTCCCTCAAGTTATAAGAAGTATCGTGCTGGTACATGTGACTGCCCCTTTATTAAGAATGCAAGTAGGAAAAATGAGAAGACAACACTTTTTTTCTCAGAGTTAGAAATTTCAACCCTAACTGACAAATTCAAGTTTGTACTTATTGGAAAATTTCAGTGGGGAAACCCACATATGGAAGTTATCAGGAAAATTTTTGATAATTTCAAATTAGCAGGAAAGTGGAAGGTGGGGCTCATGGATGATAGACATGTATTGATTTAGTTAACCGTGCCTGAAGACTACATTCAAATTTTCTCCAAAAAATATCTCAGCATTGTTAGTAAACCAATAAAACTACTCAAGTTGTCTCCGAATTTTGACCCCAATCATGAACCTACTATTGTACCGGTATGGTTTAGTCTATCTAGTCTCAAGCTTCACCTTCTTCTTCATCAAGTTCTTTACTCTATTGGTACATACTTGGGGACCCTATGAAGCTATATCTACCCACTTTCAACCTTACTAGATCTTATGTGACCAAAATACTTGTGGAAAGAGATATTACTTTACCTGATGTTACTGAAGTCTGGTTGGACACAACTCATCATGAATATTGACAACAAATCATCATGAAGCATAGACCTTCTTATTGTTCTCATTGTAAGATGTTTGGGCATACCCTTGATAAATGCCATAAGCTTCATCCTAATTTGAAATCTAAAAATCAAGTGAATAAGGAATATATCTAGGATATATCTGTTCCACCTGGAGAGAAACATGACATGATTTGGTGTCTGATTCTATTACCCCTGTGGACCCTCTCCCTGAAAATACTGTTTCTGCGATCGATGAGAAGCTAGATGGCCCTGCTGAGCAACCTACACTTTTAAACCATATTGAAAACAGTACTGAAGGGCCTCTACCTATACAGACTGATAATCAAGAGAACCTTGCAGCTCCCCATCTTCAGGAAGTATCAGGGGTAGAGGCGACAACTCTTACCTCACATACATTTGAACCTCTTATGGGCATAACTGTTGGCAATCTTTCTACTGCAGCACTACCATCTCATCCGAATGAGCAACAAACTTTGTATAAGGAATGACAGGTCTACACTTCCAGGAGGAAGAAGAAAAATAGAGATCTACTTGAGCTAATGAATCTAAATGAATCTAATGGATGATAATCTAATGGATGATACTTTGGTTACTTCGGGCAATGATACGTATCTCACCAATTTGTTAGCTGATTCCCTTCTGAGAATTAAAGGCAGAGGCAAAATTAAATTAGGTAGACCCGATTGATCTTATATGTACCATCTTCTTTTGGGTTTTTAAGATACAGATACAATATGATGGAGAGCCCAAACATGACACCCTACTCACAACAAAATCACAAGGGGTTCTACAACTAGAAAATACTAAAAAGTACATTAGATACAGAAATAAAAAGCCTAAAAATGTAGAAATACATAGTATTAGGTGGCTAGAGAGCAACCCAATTTGGTTTTGCTCTAGGAAAGGAGATAGCCAGATTGTAAGCTAATAAGTTGGTAAGATAATTGTCATTGCCAGAAGTAACCAATGTATCATCCAATTTGTTCCCGACCTGGAGTCGACCTCCATTCTTCTTCTTCCTCCTGGAATAGACCTGTCATTCCTCTTCCGAAGATTGGTTCACTTGATCTTGGTCTAAAGTGTGCGGAGGATGTGCAGATTGTTGGACATTAGAAGCAACAACCTGTTGTACCGGCTAATCTATTATTGGATCAAAGGAGCACTCTCGTGTGTCTTGGCATGCGAGTGAGTCTTCAATAACAATGGGTGGTATGAGCAAAACTGAATCTGTAGCTGTAGTATGTTGTTCTTCTTCAGGAACTGCGGTGTTGGGAAGAGGATCGGGTTGCATCTTCTCAACAGGGATAGTACGTGGTTGTTCTTTAGCGATATTCGACCTTAGATGAGAATGCAAACAATAGCAAATAGTAGAGCTGTGGCCAAACATACTACAATGAGAGCAATAAGTAGGATGTGGTTCCATTTCAACCTTTTGCCAATACCCGTTGTGCATAGTGTCAATCCATATCTTATCCGGAGCTGGTTGAGTGATATCTCTCTCAACTAACACACAAGCCACGGATGATCTAGTAACAACAAACGTAGGACTATCCATCTTAAAAGGCTTACCGTAAGCAGATGCTAAAGAGTAGAGGATTTTCATGTTGAACATATGTAATTTTAACCTCAGAAACATTATCCAAACAGAAATGATAGGGGGCTCCGCTTTTGGATCAAAACCGACAGTCTACTTCAAAATTTTCATAAAACGTTGTCAATATTGATAGCTTTTCGAGAGAAAATGTGAGTGTAATCGACATCATGAGATATCTGAATAAGTATATGTCTACCGTCAAGTAGTCAAATGTTCCAACTGCCCAATAGTTTCATAGTATCAAACTCATTCCTAATGATCTCCAGTTTTGAGTGACCATAAATGAATTTTCCCACTAGAGAGAAGCGTCAAGAGGACGTGAGAGTGTCGGTCTCAACCTCTGTGAGAATAAGTGCAGACTTTTCATTTTTTTCCAAGCTTTTTAATAAATGTGTGATCACCTCCACCTTCAAGAGCCTCATAGAAAGATCCTGGAACATTGCAAGACTTACCGATAGCAAACCAGACGTTGAACCTGGA